TCATATATATATATATATATATATATATATATATATACATATATATATATATACATGTAGCGCGCACGATGGAGAGACGCTTCACGGCACACTGATGCATATTTGTGGTACATTGGATCGCTCGGATATAGAATGAATCGGAGAGCCTTCCGTTGTCCTTTTTGTTAGCCGGTGATTCCATTAAAGCCCATCAAAACGCCTATGTTTGTCCTCATTTGCATCGGGCCGCGAGTCGACAATACACAATTCTAATTCACTGCGCTGTCCGCCGCCGTGTAACGACATTATCGGGTCGTCCGCGCCTTCCCCGCCTGACATAATTTCCATGTTACACTCTGTTCGTCGCTTCTGCATTGACGTTCCATCTATTCCTTTCCAGATATGGTTGGTATGCTTTGGAATATTACCTATTCGGAATATTACCTCCATATGACCTATTTACGCGCGCCAAAGCCCCTTTCGAGAGGGTTATTGGAACCGGAGGATACATTGCGGTACAAAGATGCCGAGATACAAAGTTATTTACGCAGACATCCCTAAGAAATAAAATTCCTTTTCTCACTGACACGTACACATCCTTACTTTAAATATTAACTTATGTACTACATGCCCACGACGGTCCCGCTTATCTTCGGGACGTCATGCAAAATTCAGTTTGTCCGAGCTCGTTGCATGAGAATCGTTCATTTTCTCGTAAAGTTACGTATGTCCAAAGAGAAGTCCTGAGAATCGGTTTCAGCTGCGAAAGCTTAAACTTTAAGACGTCTGAAATTGTAAGGCAAACATCAACTATATATCGAAAGCTTCACACGTCTCGTGGAAAATAAATCTCTATTCTTATTTCCACGTCATCGTGAATTGTTTTCTGTGTTTATATATTATATGCAACAGCGAAGGTTTATGATCGTTACAGCAAATAAGATTTCTTTCTTAAATATATCGAAATAAATAAATATTAAATCGACGTACTGGTTATTTTTGGAAATAAGGCATGCCTCCATTCGTACATAACTAACCAATAAATTATTACTAAATACTTGGAGATAAGAGGAACACTGAAAAAGATGAATCATGTAAATAATTCTTACTCAAAAGTAATGTCTTAATATAATAAAATAATTGAGATCTTTAAACAAGTAAGGATAGATAATGGATTTAAGTGATAAAATTAATAACGTTTCTTTTCAAATAACTTTTTGCGGCAGTTATTTTTAAAAAAGATTTCAATTATTCCCTCAATTATTCCAGTTGACTTGACGACTCGCATTTCTCTTTTCAAGAAAAAAACAATCCCGATCGTTTTCTACATTTTGCCAGAAGACGATTTCGCGATTTCGAATTTTTTCGATTTGACGTGAGAGAATAGCGAGAGCCGTTTACCTTTTTGATCCAGCTTTTCCAGAGATCTCGATCCCAGGGATGATGGAAGCCCAGATACAAATGCCTGGTTTCACGATGGTGACTCTCTTCAGGGTGTTGGCTCACATGGCACTGTTGAGTGACCCTGGGAAACCCAGTGACACGCAAAACGAGTTTGCCCAGACGTGACGGCGCATAGCACACCGCGCCACCTCCGCCGCCTAGCTCCATCCATTCTGCGCGCGATTCCGGACAAGCTGGGGAAAACGCGTTTGTCTCGTTATTTATCAGCCCTTTGATAAATTGGTAGTACGTACCGCCCGCGGCTATGGTAATACCGGCGCGAGAGGCGTCGCGAATGGGAAGCTTAAAGGGGAATATTTTTCTCACAAGTAATAATAAAAAAGTGCGAACAAAAGCTGGAAGCTTATTCCCTTTTTTTTTTTTTTTTAAATTATTTTAAAAGAAATATTCCATAATTTCCAATTCGTCGTAGTTTCCTCGATTCAATTGCTCGCAACTGAAAAACCATTAGGGGGTTGGTCGACATCAAAGCAAACACGTCATTTCTCTTCGTTTGTACGGTTGACACTGGCAACAATTTTTGACACGTCGAGTGCGCGATACCATCCTTCCGACACGCGCGCACTTTAGACCACGTGTTTTGACCCGTATCGACGTGAAGTTTTATTTGGCCTCGAATTTCGAGTTTCATAAGCTCGATGTATCGAGCGTGTTTTAGGGAACGAACGAAGGGATGACTTCATTTCTTGTTCCGAGGGACCTACGGCGGGGGAGTCTAATTACGTTGAGCTACGCCGAGAATGCCGGACGATCATTGATATTCCGATGACGGCTGGTTACATTCCACGGCGTCGGCTTTCGGGGAACATCCATCACCGGCCGATACGCTCTCGCAGACACAAACGCCATCGGGTATTATCGAATTTTTGCCCGTTTTCTCGGGAAAAACAGAGCCAGATCGCTTCCGGCGATCCGATACAAAATTTATCCGCAGCAGCGAAATACCGAGCGCGCTACTCTCTATCAAACAGATGCTCGCACGATCATAGAATTAGCGTTTCAGTTGAAGAACTCACTTTTGAAACCTCGTGAGGTTTACAAATTCATCTACGCGCTTAAATTAATGAGTTCTAAAATTTGTTCAGATTAGAAGATTATTAGAATTTTGAATTCTGTAAATTATGAAGTGTCCCGAAAGCGAACGAAAATCTTTATCTTAATCTCACTCTCTTAATATTATTATTACGATTATGTGAGGTGGCTAAGATAAATAATTTCGTAGGACACTTCATGATGCATATTTAGATTATCTTTTTTTCCATCGTGCCTCTTCGCTGACACGATGAGAGACCAAGCCTTATCTTATCTTAATCCTTACTCCCGACTCACACGAACATGAAACATCCCCATGGCTTCGTGTCCGTGTCGCATACGGGCACGGCGGCCATTGTTAATCCGAACAATTTATAAATAATGTCGGTAAAAAGCGTGCTACATTTTTAAATAATTTTTGTTATTCAGCTAAAATTAAAAATGTAACGTGATATTCGTTACTATTTTATAGAATGCGCCGCGAACGATCGTGTTTTCCCATTGTTCTCGAATTGCGGTGCCAGGCGTTGGAAAATAGTTGAGGCTGGCAATACTTTGTTTCAGTTGTTAAGCGATACGGCGCACGCGGTTGGCATCGTTTCTCGATGAGACTGCTGCGCTGCTGTACAACTAATTTCCGGACTGGTTCCAAAACTAAACGCCCCGGGAAGTTCTTGCTAGTACCTCATTAAGTTAGATTCTAACAAGTTTAACATGTTTTCCTAACTTTATATAGGACGAATAGAATGAATGTTTAAAAAAGCATAAAGGCCAAAGAGCGGAATTTGATTTTTACAAAAATTTTTCTCTAAATAATCTATATAAAAATATTTTTAATAGACATCTAAAAAATTAAGAAAATTAAAAAAAATCTGAAAATAATAATATTAAAATATAAAAAAAATATATATATATATAAAATAATAAAATATATAAATATCAAATATAAAAGTGTTTAAACACATTTAATTATCTCTATAAAGAAATACGTGGCCGATTGTAGTAAAGGTTCAGAGAATTCAAGTTCATGTAACTATCTATAGTATAAATCTTTTGTTTGCAATTGAAATTTTCAGAATTGTTCAGGTCACTGTATCAACTAAGGGGATCGATGTTAAATCCATAATGTAGGGTCAATGACACGAGGAGGAGGAGTGCCGTTTGTCTATACATGCCAGAGATCGCCGAATATTCGTTTTCCGAATCGTAGGATTCCAAGCAATTCCTAATTGAAGCCAGTGGTAGCCGCAGTTTAAATCAGCAAATGCCGGCGAGGCTGGTCAGTTTCTGGAATAGCCGCCATTCTACAGTCATGGTAGATTGTGGTTCCATTTGCGAGATACGTATCGAGCAGTGGGCAATTTCCTAACAGCGATGCACAGGGTATATACAAAGTCTTCACGCGTTCTCGTGAAATCGGTGCTTAAGTTAACGATAAATTATACATCGTTGGATCTCGTCTCAGATTCGAAGTTTAAAAATAAGATTAAAATCCTAAGAATATCTATTGGAGAATATTATTGACATTTTCTATAAGTATTTCTACATGCGTCATCTGAGAATCTAATAAAGTGTGACTCTAAATAATTATTATTGCGCAAAGTTCGTGTTTAAATTTACTGAAAACTGAAAAAAAAATTTTTAAATGCTACATATGTGTTTGTCGAGCGAGCAGAATTACTCGGCATCAGCTCGGAGAAATGGCACTACTGGGAAAACACTTTCGGACGCGTAACCACGTACGCAGATGGCGAGATCGGGCCAAGGACGATGCGGACGTCCTGCCTTCCGTCACGTTTGCCGGATACGAATCTCCAAGCGATGACTGGGAAGTAACGACCGGGAAGTCCGGGCAGTAGAGGGATCGTTCCGGGGAAGTTGTACGCTGTTGATTCAGCATGGGTCTGCGATGGCGAACACCTGTTACCGCCGCTATCTCGAGCTTTAATCAAGGCCCCGGTTCCCGTAGGAACGGCTACCCAGGACGGCGAGCCTCTAACTGACGCGATGCCGCGGAACGGCCGGGTTTAGCGCGTCGTTGAACGCTTATACGACACGCTCGTTAAAATCGACTACCGACCACCGGCGACCGTCCGGCGATATTCGGGTCACCCTTGGAACGCCATTTAACATACGGCGGGTGCTTACATACGGGCTCTTACCGGGCGTCGCGCCTCGAATATCGAAATAATAGCCGTAAAAGCGGAAGATTATGAATGAAATACGTAAAAGGAGAATTTTATGGCATTTTTCTTACTCAAATATTTCTCGCTACAACATGTCTTCCGCTTCGCATAAAAAGACATGTTAAATTATTAAATTCAAGACGAAACGTTCAGTTTTCATTAGAAACGTTGTACCCCAAAGTCCATTTATGAGGAAAAAACTAAACTTCATCGTGGATTTTAAATATTAAAGGCGTGGAAAATTTTTTGAGAAAAAAAGAAAATGTGATGATTTATAATAACCGAAAGAAAATTTAGTATTTTTTTTAAGAATTTTTTTCCCTATTTTTCGATTTCTCTCTCGCTTTCGCAGATTACTGATTAATCTTCATCGAGCAATTGTATGTCTTATAAATAAACTTGTATATCGTGCGCCATGGAAACGTCACGATTATTTCAATATCGAAGAAACTGTTTTGGAGTTATAAACCACATAGATGATTGAAACAGTAAACTTCATTTAAGTGAGTTAATATGTTATATTCCTCAATTTCAAAAATGGAAATGTATTTCGAAATTACATATAATAAAGGAAATGGAATACATACTCTTTGTTTACTTTACAAAGAACGATATTTAAAAATAATTTAGCACATCCAAGGACAATTTTATTGAATCATCAAAATTAGAATGCTATAATAATACCATAAAAATATTTTATATTTTAGTAACTAACTTGAGCGGCCTATATAATTATTCTGCTGATTATTCAACAAAATTATTTTTCCCGTATCTGGCCAAATTTTTCTATTTTAAACTGCTCATATTGGCGAAAAAAAATATCATTTCGAATACAAAAATATCAAAAGGTTGATAAAAGCACTATTTCTAGAATAGATATGTACATATAATGAAAATTTTAACACACTGTCACAAACGATAGGATAGTTTCGTAGTGCTGTTAATTCATCGTTAAATAATTCGATCTCTTTTCAGAATTATTTATGAACACGTCAACATGAAATATCGATTGCCTAATTTTTTGATGGTTTGAGTAATGCATATATTACCGACTCAAGCAAAACACGAAAATCGTGGAAATTTTACAAACATTCCCAATATGAAACGTTGTCGTTGTTTCGTCAAGAGTAATGAGGGGCTGTTGGCCATTTTGTCGCTGACGTCACGCACTGTACACATTTATGGTTTAGAAAATGCCAAATATATTTCACAAGGGAGACGATTCAATTCCAGGCACGTTCGACAAAGTCGTGTCCGACTTCATTGTCATTTGGCAGAAATGTCTGAGTCAACGAATCTTTTATAAAGATGAATATGTAGCAATGCATGCGAAATGTTGCATACACGTTGTGATCTTGAATTTTTAACATTGCAAAATACAAATAATTCAATTTTTAATTTGTTCAAAAGTGAAATTTTTGGAAATAATAATTCGATATTTCGTATTTCTTAGCCAGTTAAACGGATTTGTTAAATAGATTTATTAGGCGAAAAAAATAGAGCGTATTCTTTTTTGTATAAAAATATACAATGTAATTTTATCTTGTACAAAAGTGCTTGTACACGGAATTTTTAGAGACAATAATTCAATATTTAAAACGCGTCTTTTTCAAACAAATAAACGAGTTCATTAAATAGGTTTATTAAACTCTAGAAAGAGAAGAGTGTACTGTATAAAAATTTTATCAATGCTCCATTTATATCAATTCAATACATTATTTATCTGTGTTGTAAATACAGTTCTTGTTACGCGAGCAACGCCATTTTTCTTTCACGCGATAGCGACGCGCCGTATCTGAATGTTCGGCGACGTAATTGCACGTCAGGACGATAAATCCTTTCGGCCGAAGAAATTCTTGATCCACGGCACGCATCCTGCTCGGTGACAGGATCGTTCCAACAGAAGGATAAGGGACGGACGTAGATAAATCATGATGTTTCGAGTGTCGGAAAAGGAAGCAAGAAGAGGGGAAAGATATCTATGGGACTGATCTCATGATATTTTCCTTCTCGGTTGCTTTGTCTTCTCCAAGGATTGTCACTGGATTCGCGATTATTTAACGCACACTTGAGAATTTTTTTTACGAAATAATGACACATGAATTGACAATTTGAATTAAATAGAGCCTTATCCTAATTGTTTTGCGGGAAACTATCTCCTTTGCACTTCTATATTCCAGATTTTCAGAATTTAAACTCATTTCTTAATATATTTTTAAGCTCATTTCTAAAAGAATTTAAATTGGTTAAAAAAGGATTTGAGTTCGAAACTTCAAATGGATAAATGCAGCATAATAATTTTAAAAATATGCTTCGTCTGTTTTTAGAGAGTAAAAATGAAGTAAAAATGAATTTTTCAATTAAGGATAATCGAATAGTCGAGGAAATGCAGTTTTTCTACATCAAGCGCTAATTTGAGAAATCCTTTTGGGATTTCACGAATCACAGGAGAAAGATACGACAGATACGATCGTCGGATGATTCCTAATGTCTCTGACAGATGCTCAGGGGGTTGTTTCCCCATTGTGAGTTCTTGTTTTCTGGCCGGGCGGGCCGCACGCTTCCTTTCGTCTTGGATTTTCTTATCCTGGGGATTGGCAGGATCCACGAATAGAACACTTACCCGGATAAAGGAAGAGTCTGGAGCCGATGACAGCCAGAGGTCGTCGCTTCCATTGAGGAGAAACCAACCCCTTCAATACCAAAGTATAGCCGCAACGACTGTATCCCACCAAATCTGGTAATGGCGATGCGGGTCCTGGTAAAGGAAGAAAAAGATAAAGCGATGAATAATTAGGGCTTTAATCAATGTGCGGACGATTAAGGTGCTCTTTAACCGTAACGTCTTTTGAGATAAAAGAATTGAAGCTCTATGTGATATGATTACATGAATTTTCATTTACAAAAAAAAGTGTATTTACTTGAAGAATTATTAAATTATTTATAAAAATTATTTATAAATATTTATATTTATAATTTACCTCATATTTATATCATTTCTACTATAATTTATTTAATAAATTCTAAATTTTTTAAACTTTCTAGATATTGGTACTCTTTTTTTGAGTTTGATAAAGTCGTTTTTGTATCAATATAAATATCCTTTTTCTAAAAAAAGATAACAATTTCTTGTGCAGGAAGATAAAAATTTTACAAGAATTAATAAATATAATTACAAATCACAAAATAGATGTAATTAGCTTAATTTTGGACATAAAATTGTCAAATATATATTTCTTATTATAAGGTATTTATTTCTTTTTCTCTTTATTATTTCTGAAAGTTTGCCAGTTCTATTCAAAACTGTTCTATATATATATATATATATATACTGTGATATATAGAATTTTTCATTGCATATGCGGCGGCAAACGGCGCGCGGCGAAATTGAGTTACGTTCACAAACAGAAAACGCGAATTCCCAGAGAGTTTTGCAGACCATACGCGACATGCGAATCAAAATGTTATTTTTCGACTCATTGTGTAACGATATAGACCTTTAAACGCTTTGGAGATGTAAAATCATCACAGCTAACTCATAAAAAGTATCCCATGTTATATTTCACTCATAATTTTCACACATTTTTCGACGGCTATTTTTTAGCATGTTGTACAAATGATATATTTTATCGGCGTATCTCAAAATAACGCTTTTATAATTTCTCGCGAGAGAAGTTAACTAAATTCAAATTTATGGAGTACGTAAAAAAATATTAATTCGAATATTATGACATTTTTAACGTATGTAATTTTCTTAAAAGTAATAGCAATGCTTATACGCATTATTAATAATCTGTTTTAAAAATGAATATGAAAAGTGTTTCATTTAAATGATATTTCAGCGTCCTTATAATAAACATTT